GCGATAACAATGTTCATAGGAGGGACAGTACGTGTACATTTTTTGGAAAAATCTGCAAGCTTCCATACGTATCCTCAAAGAAGGGAACAAACTGGTCACTGTGTAAAAGACGAAGAAGCAAAGACCGAGTGGGTACGCGATGATTAAGTATAGACGAGGTCGCGCGTGCCACCGATCGCATCGTTTATATATTATTATACACGCATGGTGTGCGGCTATGTGGGTATTGTACACAACAGAGCGCAGCGGCGTTATATGAACCGGGCGAGCTTGACGCACGTATAGCTGCACGCGAGCGCGTAATTTTCGCAGTCGATGCACGCGGCTATGACGTAAGGAGCGAACCCACGCGGCAGATCGACCGTTACACGTTATTTATTAGGCCCAATGGTTGAACCCTCGAGGGGACTTTTCGGAACAATGTAACCGGAGGATGGCCGCGCGAGAGGAAAGATCGATCGCCCCGCGTGCAATCGTATAGACGTGGCGTCGCTTATGTATATACATACGCAGTAACAAGGTCGAGTATGTATACATATAGATACCGATGCTCATGCATTGTGTGCTCGCTGTGCGACTCGAGTGCACGTATATTAATTGATTTGCGGCGCGTTCGTTGTGGGCACCACGTGACTAGAGATTTTTATAAATTACGACTCGCTTTTTTTTTACTCTGCGCGTACGTACAATTGTCGGGGCCTTGGGTTCGGCTAAGATCGGTAGTGCAGCCCAAGCGTACATATAGCTACGTGTTAGCAACGAGAGACTCGGCGATGCTCATCGTTTAATTTTTAATTGATTGAATTACAACTACAAGTGTTAAACTATGTTGAGAACTCGTGTACTTTTTACCGATCACGGCCGGACGGCTAGTCGGCAAAGTGGGTTACGAGATGGCGGCTTAATTATGAAGTCGTATGATTAAACGATTTGTCGTTCGATAACTCGTGTTGGGCGAATGAGACACACACACGCATTAACCGGTGCGTCTCTTCTCGAGCGGGTGACCCTATTTTCGAGGTTTTATTGGCGCATGTATACGAATCGGAAAAAGAAAAGAAAGAAAATGGGGACGAGCGTGCGTCGACGGCAAGAGCGACGATGAAAACTATGCTACGTCGTAACTATTGTGGTGCATGTATGTATACACGTCAATCACGAAAATCGCGCTTTTGTGTGTATACAGCCATCGACAAAAGAAGAAGAAGAAGAAAAGGGCAAAAGCTCAACGCAACGTTCCCTCGGATGAAGAGAGCCGGCCGGGTTTGATGTACCTGTTCCACGACGCACACTATTATACATCACCTTTTCATCCACTCTATGAAGAAAAAAAAAAAAAGTGGCTCGAGCCACTTGCGTCACATGCATGTAAGTATATAAATATTACATTGTGTGCCACGGGTGTAGGTATACATGTATGTACTCCCGCGCTGGATTTCGTCCGAAGGCAAACACCTCCTGGTAGATATATACACGTACGAACCAGTCGCTCAACATATTATAATACACATACGAGGGTACAGGGGACCACCGCACGTGCGAAAGGCGAATGACACGAGCGAGAAGAACAGGGAGAGTCAATTCGTATATATGTATGTATGTACACACATACCTGTGTACGCGTGGTGGTATCAAAGTATGTACACTTGTATACACTTACAAGTACACATTATAGTCGCCGGCAACGATTTGGAGGCTTGGTTTTTTTTTTTTTTTTTTTCACTTGTATACACTTACAAGTACACATTATAGTCGCCGGCAACGATTTGGAGGCTTGGTTTTTTTTTTTTTTTTTCTTCCTTACGAAAGTAGGAGGAGACGCCAGGAATGCTCGGTGGGATAGATTTGCATAAATTTGTTTATTGTGTCGCGTTGGCTCGCTCGCCGTTGATTCGAATTTCCGAAAGGTGCGTTAATAAAAGCCCCGGGACGAAGCAGTACTATACTATACTAGCTCCAATGCAATATATAAGTATATGGTATGTATTATATATTAAACGCGTGCACTATTGGCTCTTTAGGGAAGGAAAAAGAAGAGGACCGGTGGTTAAAAGCATTTGGCTTCCCAAGTTGGTGTAACTGAAGGAAGAAAAAAAAAAAAAAAAAAAAAAAAGAGAGAGAAATTTGAAAGTCAGCGTATAATACGAGACGAAAGGGGGAGGGAGCACCGCCGCGCGTCAGAGAAAAGTCACACGAAGAGGAGAGCGCAAAGTAAAGGTGTCCTCCCCGGAGAATCGTAAGCCGAGTCGTCGCGACCCGCATAAAAAATGATACCCTCTTGGCGTCCCTTTGGCTACTCGCGCACCGCCGTGAATCCGCAACTTATGCGCGCCTCGGGTACTTACATTACGTGTGATATTTGTTTTCGCAATGCACGAGTACAACGAAACACTGGATCAACGAGTCCAGGTATATACGTTGGATATGGGAAGATGCATTAATTAGGATTTTCCCGCGCGTGCAAGAGAGCAGTGGGGTTTGTTTTCCCTGCGTGTGTACCAACGTAGCCTTTCTCTCTCTACGTATGGATTTTTCTCCTATTTTTACTCTCATGTGCACCTATACTACAATAAAGCGGATATATATATGTGTGTGGGTGTGGGTGTGTATACCCATGTAGCGCACACAAGGGCCTCGGATGGCTGACTCGGGCCGACGGTAGACAGACAGGTCTATAAGAGCGTAAAATCAACAGGATCGTCCTATCATATTTCAAGAAAACTTCCCTCGTTTGCCAACTCCCCCCCGCCCCCCCCTCGACAAGACGAGCAGTGTATATTACACGCACGGCGGGACGTGTGTACGGCCTTTAATCGGCGCTTGTTTAACCTTGACTCCCAATCACGCCTCGTAACGGGCGAGTAAATTGATCCACTTGTCCGCTGGCTCGCTACCTCGTTTGATACAAATACATTGAAAGAAAAAANTGGGGGAGATGTATGAAAGGGAATATATATATGTATAGGGTGGGTAACACAAACGCGGTGTATATTAGAAAACTGCGAGAGTAATGAAAAAAAAAATATATATATATATATACATAAGCTGCAAAGACACATACAACAAAGTGCAAGCATTTTTCCACAGATGTATAGTTGATTTGGACGTTCGCAATATAATCTCAATCGTTTTTCGCTGTGCCAACGAATCGTACACACATACTCAATTCATCACCCGCGTTATATATATTATGTACACGTCACCTGCGTGCATTGCTTGTTTAAAAATGCGCGAGAGTTTGTCGTTGCGTCACGAAAGACCGAGTCGTGTTCGCGCATTTACTTTTGCATACATACGTTATATATGCATATGTGTGATGTGTTGTGTGCACTTCGAGTATACACATCCATATACATGCATGCAAGTAAGTAACGCAACGCGTGTATACATTATCTCTCTCGTGCGTATATGATATTGTATGCTCGACAAGAAAAGTTTTGTGTGCCGAAGAGACAGACGGTGAGCACAAAGCGGGTGAATAATTGGTTATAGTGTACGACTTTTTAGGAAAAAAAAAAAAAAAAAACAACAACAATCAATCAATCGAGCAGCACTTTTTTGTATTATATTATTCCCTCGCGTACGAGTGACGGACACAATAGGGCACATACTTATGATTATATTTTATCGATGAATAATCACTTTTAATCGCTAACCTCGCACTTACCGATGAATCGGGTCAAACGCGCTCTCGGCATGGATGTATCATTACATCGATCTATCCATCGTTTGTACATACACATAATTCATGTATGGATATATATATTATATTCTTTCCGAGGAAGCCGATCGCTGTTGTGGTTTTGATTTTCAAGTACATACGCGCGTGTGAGGGTACAATTTATGATTAAATTACACGGCGCGCGAGTCGAATGCGCGCAGCGATACCTCGAGAGGAAGAGGAAAAAAAAAAAAACTCTCCGATGCCATCAGGGACGTAAAATTATCTAGAGACCGTTTGTTTTTTTTTTTTTCTCTCTTTGCGCCCAGGTGAAAGTACACGCGCGGTAGAAATCCCGTGTATAAGTAGTCGACTCCCCATCACGTAACAAGCAATGCCTGCGCGCGGCTGTCACTTAATCGCCTGTATATTATATATAGGTACGGATGTTTTAGAAAAAAAGGACCTCGCGTTTTTGCAAAAACGTGTGGGAGACAGAAATCAAATTAAGCTCGAACAATCAGGCCTCTTTTATACAGCCTCGGTTTCCACGAACTTGCGCAATTCCATTAAAACTTGCGAGCTTGCACATTCGCGTAGCTGGAAAATAATATATACAAATAATGTACGTCTCTCTCCCGAGGCTCTCGTAACGCATTATTATTTCTCGGCTTACTCCGCGCACAAGTACTCACTTACTTTGTACATCCAACAGCTTTTGCACGCACACAAGTCGGTTATTAATTAATATCCATGATATCGATGAACAGCGCCTGCGCCGGGGGGCTTCGATGAATTGCAATCTGGTAATGGTAATCGCGTGCGCGTTTTTTTTTTTTTTTTTTTTTTTTTTTACAACCCCATCGTTAATCATAAAATGATGGTAATCATACAAAAACGACGATTATCTTACGCACGTATACCAAGTAAGTCGGAAATAATCGGCATCTCGCTATTCGATCGGCCAGTTTTGTTGTTCTTCGCAGCGAGTCGTTGAGGTCACAGTTGCGTTCGATTCGAATTGGATGAAAAAGTAACTTTTGCGAGTGCATTGCACTCGTTGAGCATTAAAACACTACTTACGCCCCGGCTGACATTTTACACACGCCATGGGTGTATATATGTATAACCTGTGGGCTCCGAGCAGCCAAAAAAATAGTCGAAAAGTGTGTGCATCGCGAGTATAAGTTTAGTATACATACACTTACCTCACTGGCGCGTAAAAACGAGGCAAAGAAAGGAAAAGAAGAGAGAGAGAGAGGGAGATGCGTCAGAAGCTATACCAGCTGAGCCGCACGAGTCTCCGTTTCCGCGCTCTAGTAGTCCGGGACGAGCGCGACCGAGGAGTTGTGTTTTTATATTCGGTTGGTGCGAGTTTACTTACGTGGAGGCCGGTGCGGCTATCGAAGCAACGAACGAGCATAACAATATATGTGTACGTGTGGTCGTCCAACCCATTGCGTCGGAGATGTTCTCGAAGATCTCGTTCGGAGGAGGTAGGAACGGCAGAGGTCATTTCTTCAAGAGCAAGAAGAACCACGGCAGCGAGAACAAGATGAGGAACTGGGCTCGCTCGAACGGGCAGCGCGACGAGGATGAAAAGCCGAGGCTCGAACCGATCGCCGATATCGTTGGCATTGGGTGATTACACGCACATACATATATTTCATACTTGTATTGTAATGTTGCGCTGTGCTTTTTGTTTATTGTACCCAAATTGACACGAGTACAGAGGTGCACCCGAGTGACTGCGTGTATATGTAACTTTGTTGTCGACTCGGTTATTGGGTATATCAGCCACATAATATATAAGTACTTTCACTTATCAGTGCCGAGTTTGCGGGCTGCATTGACGAGATGAGAGAACTGGGAATATCAGGATTGACGGCAAACAAAATTATGATCCGTTGTTTGAAAAAAAAACATACGTACAATTTGTAACTTCCCCGTTTGAGGCTTGAGTTAGAGCGTCGCAATAATTGGGTATACCATCATCAAAGGTTGGGCATTGTGATGGTGTATATATATAGGTGCCGCCGTGGGTGAAACTTTTTTTATTTTTAATACCTCGCCCTGGCTTCGGTCAAATTGATGGCATATCGGTATCAGTGTGTAGATAATACGATATAAAATTTAAACATTAATGAGCATCAGCTCACTAGTGTGTAATCTTATCTATTCCACGGATGGTAACAGACCCCCTCTCCCCCAGCCCAAGAAAGTATTAAAAAGAAAAAAAAAAAAAATTCAGTTAGAAAGAACAAAAAATGCACCCTCTGATTACACAGTTTGTTTAAATTGAACCCTCATAAATTTTGTAGAAAAAAATTATTACCAGTTACCAAGTTGTCTTGTTTTAAACCTCCGATATCTTTGGAAAACACTTCTTTTTCGATACAACATTGGCTTATAAAAAATGAACCTTTTCTAATTTAAATTGAGCTTATCTTACATTTGCAAATATTAGCTTGGTTTTTTTATTAACAATTAATACATAATACTGGTCTAAAAGCTAACCTCATCTCTATCATGTTTATCAACTGCGCATGCGCTCTGGGGGCTTGTTACCAATAGTATGTGTATATTCGCTCCGAGCCGATGCAGAGGTTGCGCCCTCTCTAGCCAAAATCAGGCAAAATTTCTTGCATGTAAACAAACGGCTTAGAACATATTATATTTATACATACGTACAGCTGCTTGTGATTGGCACTTGGCAAGCTAGAGAGAGAACGACGATCCTCTCCTGCTGCCTTATTCAGCCAATCACAAGCAGCTATACGCATGTATATATGTTCTAAACCGTTTGTTTACATGCAAGAAATTTTGCCTGATTTTGGCTAGGGGGGGCGCAACCTCTGTATCGGCTCGGAGCGAATAGGGAGATGATTACAGTTAAGTTACAAACAGTACAGATCCTAACAATTTCTCGAACAAAAGTTGAAAGAAAAAAAAAAAAAAACAGATCCGTGTAACGAGGCTCACGCGAATGGCACGCGAATCGGTACAAAAGAGAGAGAGAGAGCAGTATGTATGAGCCTTGACCCATAGAAGCAGTATAGCGTCAGCGGCAGAAACGCTCTTTGGTCCACGTATTCTGTGAATCGGTATACCTGTAAATACCGCGTACCTACATACAAAGGACAGTAACGAGGGCTCATTGAGTTTGGGTCCATCGGATTCTCCACGCGTTGTTTTTTATCACAGCCACGCAAAGGCAAAACCTCGTACGTGAACTTTCATTGGCGTCCCCCATGCGATCGGTATATATACATGTATATATATGTATACCTATGCGTCATGACGGAGCTGAGCTTTCCTTCGCTTTTGTTTCAAAGGCGCGTGGGATGGAGCTTAATTGATCGGAGCGTCCCTACTGACCGAGTCAACTGGGATTCGGAGGCGCTGTTTCGATCGAGTGCGGGGAAAAAAAAGTCCAATGAGCCGCGGGCGACCCTTACATGCTGTATTATGACCTTTGAAAAAGGCTTTGCTACTAAACTGTTTCAATTTGAAAAACAGTGATTTTATGTCAAACAACTCCAACTGCAGCAAAATGGTGTAGGAATACCGTATTGTGGGAAAACACTTACGCCGGTGTTATTATTTTTTTAAAAATAGCCACCTTTTTTTTTCTTACATACACCGACTGATCTACAAAAACTGGCTATGAGGTCTGTCGTGATAATTAAAATTAAAAAAAAAAATAAAATAAAAAATAAAAAAATTTAGAGGAGCTGCCTCGGTATAAGCGCAACCCTTTTAAACTCCTTCTCGGCCCGACACATTCCACCCTCTCTCTGTCGCGTGGAACACGGGGAGCGTCTGCTCTGGCGATTTTGGCCGACAGGAGCCGACCGCGAGCTCGTGTCCTCTCTACCCAGACCATCATCACCACATACATGTATAATACATATATTATACTCTCGCGACCGGTTTTCCCGGTCTCCCAGCATATATACTTATATATCTATAGGTACGCCTCTTCTCTTATATCCGTGCTCCTCTCACTTGCACGCGCTATCCTTCGCAAAGACTCCCCTTTATACGCGCACACGCTCTCTCTCTCCTCCTCTGCTGTGTGTGGATGCACACATAACAATAATAATAATAATAATAACATATAATACTTACACATGTTACGCTGTACGTATACACTACCGCACCACCACCACCTCCTCCTCCTCCCACATCCCCGGAGAGGCGGCTGCTGCAGCATCTGTGTGTATACGCGACGCGACGCATTGTTCTCGCCATCATCAGCACTGCTCTCCGCGCTCGGCTCGACGTTCTCCGGCTCGTGTATCAGTATAGTAATGTATTTTCAGCATACACTTACTCCGGGTGTACAGGTATTTTGCTTTTCCGCGTAATTAGCGAGATTTTTAAGTCCATACGCTATACTCCCTCTCTCCTATGTCGTATACCCCCTGGAGTATAGTGCCATGCGCGTACCCGTAGAGATTTTTCCGCGCAACCCCCTTTCGCGAGAGGGTGTGTTACCTGTGACGTTCGTTACACAATAACTATACAATAATATACGTGCGTGCTGCACGTCACATGATATAATATATCATATACATAGTGTATGTACTTGTATCGCAAGAGAAGGAGGAGGAGGAGGTGAAGAGGTAAAAAGGAGCAGCTGCTTCTGTGCTCCGCCGCCGAGAGGAGGAGGACCGGTGTCGTATCCTTTGTTTAGATTTTCTGCTGCCTAATCTACTGCCGGGAGCGCGTCTTCTTGCTGCTGCCGCTGTACTGCCATAATAGGTATATTAGCTGTCATTGCTGCAAATTTATTCGAGTAAGGGTAAATAATGTCATTTTGTGTATATATACACGCGTGTTCGATTGGTAGGTGATGCTCATCGCCCTACCACCCGAGGTATACATATACAAATAATGTATTTTTTCATTGTTTGATGATTACACGTAATGTTTATTTAGCGCTTCCTTTTCGTACCAAATTTTATAAATTTTTTTTTTTGTCCGTAAGCGCGAGCACACGTGTATATACTATTTTTTCTAAACTCCGAGAAACAGTATACCATATGTATATGTATATATGCCCATAATAGTGACGATAAAAATAGAAGTATACGCACACGGGGCCGCGTGGCACTCAAGGGCAGAGTTGTACGGAGGAAAGGCTCGTCCGTCAGTGTTTTATTTCAGTTTGTCCGTCTGACTCTCCCCCTGTGGACAGGTTCTTCAAAGAGCATATGTGTACACACACACACACCAGTAAATGTGTATGCGCAGGTGGAGGGAGGGAAGCGGGTTTAGAGAGCGCGCGTGTCGTTGAATCGGAGTGAAGAAGAAAAAAAGAGCCACACGCCACAAGTATTACCTATATCCAAATGTGTAATTCATCAACTTGCAAAAAAGCTACAGCGTTGATGGGATGTGTGAGCAGGAGGAGGGGGAGTTTGAAACGCGCACGTGCACCGCTGCTCCCTTGTGTATGTACTGTCAAGGTATAGTATCGCGATTCATCGCTGATGCCGAAAAAATCCGTGTCGCCGATTTCTTTAGCTGAGGAGCTGTATACTCCGCTGGGGATTTGGGGAAAAAAAAACAACACACCGCAACCAAGCGTTTATCTATGCGATCGACTGGTTCTAGAGAATGGGAGGGGAGGGGAAGTTGCAAAAGTAAAAGAGAGAAATCGGAGCCGCGGCGATTTCGATATCTCGTCCCTGGGAGCTTTGGCTCGTGCGTGCATGAGCTTTTGAAAGAACGGCCGATTTTTAAGTTGTAGGCATACACTATACGGCGGTCGGCAGTGCATGTACGTGTATTTTTTATACAACAGAATGCTTGAAAGCTTAACGTTTTTTTTCAAAATTAATTCTTACGTCTTTTACAACGTATTAAAATCAAATTGTAGTAACGTTACGAAAACGTTATGCACAAACGTTGGTGATGTCTAAGGATTTTTCTAATTAATATGTATATTCCTACTGAATTCAAATTAATGAGGTTAAGTTGATTTGCCATCATTTTTAGGAACAATTATATTTTATTTAATTAAGAAGCACATGGTATAGTTATTGAGAGTGACTGAACCTCACTAGGTGCTATCATTCGAATTACAACACCTGTCAGAGCCACTAATTATCTACACGAGTAATTTAACGCAGAGTTCAGAGATTTTTAGTTAAAACAATCGGTGGACATTTTCAATATTCTTACGACGTTTGTGTAACGTTATCGCACGTAATTGTTTTCCAACTTTTAAAAAATGTGAAAATATCGTTTATACAACGATTTCAAAAGTAGGGGTACGACGTATGTAACTGTACGTGTGATGAGGCAATCGTAAAATTCGAATCATCGGCTCTGCTGCACGTATAGGTATCCACGTGTATTTTTTGCTGGAATTTCACTCCAGTTGAGAAACAAAGGCTCTTGCAGGAGATTGACGGTGGCAACAAAGTCGACGATGAAGGCGAAATTGCAGTTTGAATCGCACAATGATTTTTATGTTACAGCGAATTCTCGTTCTTTTTTTTTTCATTGCAATACGGTTTCGTTTCATTCTCGTTCTCTCTCAAATTCCAATTTAACGCGAAAACCGATCTTTTGTTTCTATAAGTAATTAAAATTAATTTGTTCGAAATTGACGAGGACGCATACATTTC